TTATTATGAATTGAAGAAGCATAAGCCATGGTTCAAAGAAGGATGCTCAAAATTATTAGACCAAAGAAAACAAGCCAAAGTGCAATGGTTACAAGATCCAAGAGAAATAAATGGGTATAATCTAAACCAGGCATGTCCAACGTGTTGATCGCAGGACAATTTTTTGTCGACCTCATAGGCCTATAAGGAAATTATACATGAAAATCATGTAAATTCACTTGTAATATAATATGATTATATTCAGACTTTTAAGGGAAAATACATATTAGTCATTACTAGTTTTCTTTTCTTATGTAGCTTATGATAAAATTGCTTTACACTTGTGTTAAGTGAACTGTGGGGAAGTCCGTACTCCAGTGGTTCCCGAACTTTTTCGGTTCACAATGCCCTTAAGTGTATCAGGATTTTTCCAAGGCGCCAAAAGTCAGAACATAGGCCTACCTAACAGTTGCAGTGTGCAGTTAGGTTGGTTAAGTTAAAAAAATATATGAATCATGTATTTCAAATTCACAAACAATTTATGTAAAAAGTATTAAATAAGTACTCATTTTGAACAATCATATCATTGAATAAATAAATCATAATTAGGAGACGGATGAGCCTGTTGTTCACTGCACATCTTCTCAAATCTTGGGATCAAACTGGACACAGCCACCCTCATTTCCTGTCCCACATTTATTTTCGCACGATACTTGCTTTTTATCACAGTGACCACCAAAAACCCAGCTTCGCACAAATATGACGTCGCAAATGGAATTAAGATTCACTGAGCTTTACCACTTAGCAGCAGATATTCATCTTTTACTGATATCCAAAAGTCAGTTAGTTCCATGCTGCCAAATTTTGTCTTCAGTGTATTGTCGCAAGACAGCTCAATAAGATTTTCTTCTTCTACAGAAGTAAATTCAGATGGAGCTTTGGCCCTGAATGGGTCTTGAATCCATGCGAACTTGTCGATATTATCTTCTTGAAAGTATTTTTCAAACCAGTTGATAAGCTGTGATAGGTGCTCTTCAAAAACAGATTTTACGGTGTAAGAGAAATCAACTTCATTGGAGATCACAGAGCAATAACTGCCTTCAGCACTGCAGTCACTAGAACAATCCAGGGTTTAATTAGACTCTATTAAAATTCTGACATCGAGCGCCATCTAGTATTGCTATTGAAAAATAAAACATTTAGTGGTTTTTACAGTGCACGTTAGATGTCCATCCTATCATCACATTAACACATCGATGGTCCGATTCTAAAACCACATGGGCTCAGTGTCATTTCAGTGATAATATTTTAATATTTCGAGGCGCCCAAAAAATATTTCGCGGCGCACAGTTTGGGAACCACTGCCCTACTCCATTCTCATCACGTGAACTTATTTCATCACTCGTCGTCAGCTGCGTGTTCTGATGCAAGAGTGACAGACAACATGTGATTCACTTCGTTCTCTCCCTCCAGTCAACTGTGAATCCCTGTACGTTGAACTAACTGCATTAAAGAAACAGTTTGGTGATGAGCTCAGTGTAATCAGAGGGGCAGTAAGTGCTCTGCCCACGTTATTTTATTAATTTCGAAAGCATCTCTGTGCGCGTGGCAGACAAAACAGTTACCTCAATATAGTGGAAAATGCAACACCTCAGTATCCTTGCCAAAAAAGGGTAATCTGGAATGTCATTATAATGCTCTCCATAGCAGTAAGTATGATGCCGATTTTCCACTCAAAGGTGAAATTCATAAACTTAATCTGAAAGGACTTAAATCTAAATTAGCTGCTCAACAACAGCTGACGGCAAAACCCAGGTCACTTTCTAACACTGCAACCAAATCATCCTCAAAGGTCATCAATCTGATTGTTAAAAAATGCAAACCTTTCACTGAAGGAGAATTTGTAAAAGAAATTCTTTTGATATTCTTTATTCTTTATTGATATTCTTATTCTCTACTTCTTGAAATAGCTGATAATCATTTTGAACGCTTTAAAAATAAGAAAGAGTGTAACACACGCAGTCACAAGAGCAAGACACAACACAAAGCACAATACACACACGAAAATAGGAAGAGTGCTCCGAGAGAAGAGGATAGGTGTGACTAGCGTATTGAGATTCGACGTAGGGATAAAAAATCCTGAACAGTTTTAATATTTTTAATATTTAATATTTATCAATATATATGATGAACATATATTTTAGTTATTTTAGTATGATGACGGCAAGGCATGCAGTGAAGTAGTTTAACGTAAATCAAAAAGCACCTGAAGATGGCACCTTTGTGCGGGAGTGAAGAGTGAAGTGGTTGAGTGTATGCACTGTAAGATGGCTGGAATAAATCATGGACATAAGAAAGAGATCATAGCTACTATTCAAGATCTTCAATTATCAAGAAACACCACTGTGCGGCAAACAGAAATGATGTGTAGAAACAAACAGTTGTTGAAAGATGTTTTGAATTGTGTTGCTTTCTCCCTCGAACTGGATGAATCTATAGACATCAGAGAGGCAGCCCAGTTACTAGTTTTTATGGTTTTTGAAGATTTCAGCATCAGAGAAGAACTACTTGGTATGATTTCTTTACAAGGGAGAACTATGGGTCAGGAAATATTTTATTCCTTTGTCACAAAGTCTAATGTTCCATTACATAAAATTGTTTCCATTACTACTGATGGGGCAAAATCAATGACAGGTCAGGTTAATGATTTTATTGCCCTCTGTAGACAGCATGACGACTTCCCTGATTTCCTTTCTTACCACTGCATCATTCACCAGCAAGTTTTGGCAAGCAAGAGACTCAATACAAAGACTGTTCTGGACATAAGACTTTAATATTGTAAATTCAGTTTGTGGAAAATCACTTCAAAACGGTTTTTCAATCAAACTCCTGAGGAAGGGACACCGCATAGCATTTTGCACACAGATGTAAGGTGGCTGAGTAGGTACAAATTTTTGCAGACATTTCGTAGTTTGCTGAGTGAAATAAACAGTTTTTTGAAGGAGAGGGGAGATGAGGAAGCAGAGTTAGAATACAATAAGTGGTTATTTGATCTGGCATTTCTCGCTGATTTTACAGGTAACCTAAGTGATATGAACCTTGAACTACAAGGTAAAAACAAATGCATTGCTGAGATGATGAGTACAGTTTCATCCTACAGAAGCAAATTCGAGCTGATGACGACTGACCTTACAAACAATACTTTTGATCACTTTCCTAATATACAGGACCATCTTGAAAAATATCCTAATTTTGTTTTTCAGACAGAGAAGTACGTGACAAATATCTGTTCTATTATCCAAGATCTCTGAAATAGATTCTGCAATTTCCAAAAAATTAGAACAGTTGTAGAGGACTTGTCATTCCTGTTAAAAATCAAAATTAAACATTAAAGAAACTGCAGCTATTATCTGTGAAAATTACCCACTGAGCATGGCATCTCTTGAAAATGAAATATTAACCCTTCAAATAACATTTCTCTCAAGACTTGTGCTGTACAAGAATCGTTTTGGAAGTTAGTGCCTAGACACAAATTTCCCAACATAAGAAAATGCAGTGATATTGTACACTCCTGTTTTGCTTCAACTTATTTTATACGAATCTGTGTTTTCTTACCTAAAAATGATAAAGAGTAAACAATGTTCCAACATGACAGATGAACATCTCCAGGATTGCCTGAAACTGGCTGTCACCCAATACTCACCTGACTTCCAACAGCTGGTGGACCAAATGCAGGCCCAGACATCTCACTAACGAACAAGTTTAGTCTGTACTTACAATGTATGTTGCTTTTACAACAAACATCATGTGTTGTGTTACTTTTACCAACATTTTTGCTTAAAGCGAGGTGCGATGACAGGAGGGGGTCCTAGATCACTGGCAGTTTTGACACTAAAACGTCGACCACAACCTGTTTGAAGTTGGACATGCCTGATCTAAACAAACTTAGTGAAGGATTAGAATGGTGATCTGCTTGCAGATTCTCACAACATACTGAAAAGGTGGAGGACGTCCTACTCTCTGTTATTGAATGTACATAGGGTAAGTGATGTTAGGCATGCAGAAAACCATACATCTGAGCCATTAGTATGTGATCCTAGTCCTTCTGAAGGTGAAAGTGCTACTGCAAAACCGAAATGGTATGAATCGCCAGTTAGTGATCAAATTCCGCCAGAACTTATTCAAGCAGGAGGTGAAATATTATGTTCTAAGATCCATAAGCTAATTACTTCTATTTGGCATAAAGAAAAATTGCCTGATCAGTGGAAGGAGCCTATTATTGTACCAGTGCATAAGAAGGGTGATAAAACTGACTCTAGTGTTTATGGGGGGATATCAGTGTTTTATCCAATATTCCTCTCCCATGGTTAAGTCCATATACAGATGAAATTATTAGGGATCGTCAGTGTGTGTTTGGACGTAACACATCAACTACAGATCAGATCTTTTGCATTTGTCATATACTGGAGAAAAAATGGGAGTATAATGAGACAGTACATCAGCGATTCATAGAGTTTAAGATACCCATGGAACTGGTTAGGCTGATTAAAATATGTTTAAATGAAACATATAGCAAAGTCCGTATCGGTAAACATTTGTCTGATAAATTTCATCTCCAGAATTGTCTAAAACAGAGAGATGCTTTAGTGCCACTCCTTTTCACTTTGCTGTAGAATATGCCATTAGGAAGGTCCAGAAAACTGAAATTAAAAGGGACATTTCAGCTGTTGGTCTACACTGCCTCTACACTCACCTCTATCTAGTGCCTTGGCACTAGATAGAGGTGAGTGTTCAGCTCCACGCACTGGCCGCTTTACCTCCTGGGGAAACAGTCCCCACTACACATTGGATAGGAGGAAGTGGTGGGCCCCAGAGGCAGTCAGGACATTTTGGAGTAGAGAAAAACCTGCTGCCCCTGCCCAGCATCAAACCCTGGCCATTCAGCCATTAGCCTGTCATTACAAGAACTAAGCTATCCTGGCTCCTTATCATATGTAATTGCATCGAATGTTGCTAATTACCGCAAGGTGTCTTCATTCCCATCCTTGGGATCCAGTGTCGCCAACTTCTTGCACCATTCATTACTAAAGATGATTAAGGTATTCAGTGGATGGAGAATCTTTCCTCCTGCACCTGAGAACAGCACAGCAGTCCATTGGCGACAGCAGTCAGCAAATCATTTCACTCTGAGGATCCATATTCATTATAAAAGCAACTTTAGAGTAATAAGATCATGACTGCAAACAGTACTAATTCTGCCTCTACTTCCATCTGCCAATAACGGTCTCTCTATTGCCTTCATTTTAACAATGAATGCTTAAGACTTTTTTGTAGCCTGTATTGAGGGGGTTTGGGTAGCTTGAATGCTCAAGTACTGCATTCGGGTGCTCAAGACACCCACCATTCTGAACAAGTCTCTTGTGGTTTTCTATAGTCCCTCCAGGCAAGTGCAAGGATAGCCGTAATTACCACATTTCAGCTTCATTCCAAATCATTCAACATTCACTTATCGAATATTTTGACTGTCCAAAATTCGTCAGTGTTTGTGAACTTCATCCTGCTGTCGGAGTGGGTCATGTCAGTTAGCTTCTTTGAGAAACTTCTACCCTAGGAGACGCCACACTTACAAGTATGTCTGCAGGCATTCTCATATTACTTTCTTAACTATTGTCGTTTTGTCTCTGGTCCTCAACTTCGGCTCTGCTCGGTGTCGCTTCGTGTCGACTCGTTCGGCTGGTTACCCTTTGCGGTTATACTCTCACGCCGCGCTCTGCTGCTCACCGGCCAGGCCTACGCCGTCCTCACTTGGTAACTGGGCACTAGGTTAATAATGCCCTATCAGCCTTAAAGATTTTTTTTTTGGAGCATGAGAAACCTCAAGGTCTTCACAGGCCTCTCTTAGACTGGAGCATACAACTGACACACCAATATAACACCTTTGTACACAGGTTATTTATTCATTTTTATTACAAATCAGCGTTCGATTCTCTATTTTCACCAAATCTCGGAGTATATAACCGAGTGGCACTTAACACTCTGTACAGGAGTATGACCGAACTAGTCACGCAGTCACTAACACGGAACACATTCTTCGCAACCACCACAGCGTCACCCACTCGTCTGACCGTGGCACCCGGCAGGAGGCTTTTTCTTAATAAACCACAATTGGTCACTCTAAATCCTTATGTTAATTTTGAACCAATAAAATTGTTCGCCAGGAAAGCTTCAAATTAAAAAGAGGCGCGAACGCCACCATTGGCTAAATTCTCAACACTCATAATCACGAGACATCTTCTGTCTCTGTCAACCCCGGAATTTGCAAACATCTCTATTCACGCGGTCGAAGACAGCCTTCTGAATGCAACTTAGACTTAAGTACCACGCTTTACAAATCGAATACAATTATTGCTTTAAGGTGACAAACAAAACGGCCACATAACTGTAGTCATCTTAGGCCAATTAATCTTTTCTGCTGGCTACAATCTACACCCAACCAAGATGCCTTTTAGTCTTTGGAAGAGGCAATAATCAGGAGACGCCGAATCTACAGAATATGTGCATCACAGAAGGACAAACTTACTGCATAACATGAACAAGTAGCAAGGTCCATCTAGTGCAACAAATTTAATACGAGAACACAAATGATTGCCTTTACATCTTGCAGCCACTACTGATGGACGTTTCTACTCCTTCATGTATCAAGAAGTGTAATGGCCCAAGTTGTCTCTTGTAAAGGATTTGAGGTTCTCACAAGGGTGGTTAAGAAGACTTATGTCTTCTGGAATATAATAAGACTGTGCAGTCTGTTGAAATTCAATTGACGTCTCAGAGGAATATGTTGCCTCCGCCTGCTTGATGCAGGGTTCTTGCTTGGTCTATTCTCAGACCATGTAGATGGAGGCAAATGTTCCTCTGAAACTTCGGCAGACTTTCAATGTACTACATGGTGCTATATCCCAGAAGATATGGCAGTATCTTAAAAATCTTGGCAAAATTTAGTTTTATGTACTGTGCATTCAGAATAATTTGATTGTGGCTTTAGAAAAGTCAACTACAGTGGAATCTCCACTTCAATAATTCTTGATTTAAAATTTTCTCACATTTAGTCTTGAATTCAGTTCCTGTTACCCCAGCATCTGCATCTCAATGTTATATCTTTCTTCACCTGATTCAACCCTTTGCATGCCACAAGCCAATTAGGGCTGCTCAGTTTGCTTGCAGTAGAACTGCCACAGATGAAGGGATCAGGTGAATGTTCATCACATGGTACAACATTTTTGCCGATACATGGTAAAAAGCATACTTTATCCTACATTCCATGGGAGCCAGAATAGCAGATGGCTGAGGGACTGACAGCTGTGGTTCAGTTCCAGATTTTTCTGCTCCACAGCATCCAGACCAGTTCTGGGGCCCACGGAGCCCCCTAGTCAGTAGGCACTGGGGTCTTATCCCTTAAGGCAAAGCCAACCACTTCCAAAATGGACCTATACCTCCAATCCCCAGGACATCTCCATGCAAGGTGCTTAATTAAACAAAGGGAAAATTTTATCTTCACCTGCCCAAGAGTCATATCATTCATGACAAAATTAAGGCAGTGCTAAATATTCTCCATTTCTTGGTAAAGAGGGCCATAGCAAACAAGATGATTTATCTGACATCTTAGTGAGGTGAATGTCAGTTTGATATCATCTGAAATAAAGAAGTCTTTTTCATTATAGAGAGAAGAGAAAGCACGAGTGATACTCCAATACAACAGGATTCTGAGATAAAATATTAGCAATAAGGGACTACTTCTGTAGCAGGAATGGAAGAGCTATTAAGGAAAGAATCACATATAAGACTACAACTGACTTATTGGCCATACTGATAAAGAGGACAATATGACACACAACTACTTGATACTATGCCAAACATGGAACTGAACCTCTCAGACTTGACAATTCTGAACAGTTTCAGCCTCATGACTTCATGTGGTGCCAAAATCTTATACAGACAATTCTCATGTGCATGTAACTCAGCCCTGGCCGATAAAAATTAGCCCCACCAGATCACAAGCCACCTACAAAACATTAAACTTAACTTATAAATGGTAATATCAACTAACAAATCAAGGGGTATAGTTAAAATATATCATTAATAAATAATAAAATACAAATTTAGGATATATCTGAGCAATGCATGTACAACTGAATTAAAAAGATAAACTATGTTTCAGGTAACAATGACAGAAAAACAGCATAACAGTATCATGGACAAGACAGTACGTAAGAATAATTCAATAGCATCAGGAAACAAAAAGACATTACCTGAGAATATTCAAGTTGAGTTATCTAGTGTTGATATATAATATAGCACACTGTTTTTATAACAACAAAAGGAGATTAAAATGCATGGAAAATAGTACTTAACACATTCAGGACCGGAGGGGCCAATTGGCCCTCTACGTTTCTATAGCATTGCGGACTGGCGGGCCAATTGGCCCTTTTCTGACGCGTTATGTTGCAACCGACTATATCTCGCTATGTGGCCACGTTGCATCATAACTACTGCGTAGCTGACCTCAGGAATGTTTGCTAGCTCAGCCAGTAACATGATCACACTCATTTCCTGTCACACCCTAAAGAAAAAAGCCTTTGTTCGAGTCCAAGCTTCCACGTATGAACCAGGAAGTTACCAGTGCAACATGGATGAGAGACGAAAGCAGTTGCAGGCAAAGTGTTCTATTGGAGAACAAGAAATATTAGATTTGTTCTCCAATGAGCTATCAATTTGCCAACTTGCAAGCTTCCTTCTGCTCTAGTTGGAGCTACACTAAGAACTTTACTCATCTCGTCTAAGCTGGACCTTTATAATTTGCATGCGAACTCAATAAAGAATACCATGTCGAAGGGTTAACCTCAACTGCTGCTATGCAAAAGCTGTTTCCAACAATTCGTGTGTAATGGTGGAAACTTCACTCTTAGAATGATAGCTGCTGTATAGCAATGGATGCATTCCAATTGTAGCTGGAACATTGCTCATTGCCTAGGAAATCAACCAGGATTTCCTCAGCCATTCTAGCTCTCTGGTGGCATGCCACATTTCTCCCTTCCAAAGGTGGTGGTTCCAAACAGCCTAACGGTACTTCCCTTCCTTTCATCCACCCCCTTCAAGGTTGCTTGTCCTGAGCAGCTCCATGTTCTCGTCATCTTTCGCTTTCAATTCCTGCCAGTGAGGCAGGTGCTTCTGCATTACCAGTTCCTCTTCTATGCACTATTTAAAAATCTCTTTCATTTTGGAAGTGGTCCACCGTCTCCAAAGTGTCCGGTGTTTACTTCTTTGCAACTGGAAAGGAAATCCAGCAAGGTGCTTTACAATTTCCAATCAATTTGCCTTCCTGAGTGTCTCGTTGAATTCCCTCTTGCTTCTAAGCCGTAGCTGGTTCTGGAAGTCTTGATCCCTGGTTTCCTTGGTGCCTTCCTGACACACCACTGGTCTCCATCCAGGAGTCCGTCCTTTCCGGATTCATCTTGCAGATTGGTTTCTGGTCCGATTCTTCTGCTGTCCTTGTTCAACTGGCAGTCCTTCTTGACTGCTTCCCTGAAGCCTGTGTCTCTTGAGCGGTGCCACTTTCTCATGGTGGCTCATCCCTCTGCAGGTGACAGCCAACTTCCTTTGGCACCCACCTTTGCCGTGGATGAGCTCCTTCTTCTTTTGGCGGTTTCGGTGCCTACGCCTCTTCTTCAGTCCTCCAACAGGCATTATTTCAGCATCCTTCTTAGGGACATCTCCTCGTTGTGCCACCTCAGGTTAACATCGGCCGCTGCTATGCAAAAGCTGTTTCCAACAATTCGCGTGTAATGGTGGAAACTCCACTGTGAGATTGCCAGCCGCTGGATAGAAATGGATGCATTCCAATTGTAGGGTTGTAGCGGGAACTTTGCTCGTTGCCTAGAAATTAACCATGAGCTCTTCAACCAATCTGGCTTTCGGGCGGTACACCACGGTAAATACATAAATCACTGAAGATCCATATGCACTCACTCATTCATGAAGCTGAGCCCTTCTTGAGAAACAGCTACTCAAGAACTTCCCAGCATTTTATGGAACACAAAGGGTCATTACCATGTTTGTAAGATCCATCCATTGGTCCCTATCCTGAGCCAAATCAATCCAGTCCATAACATCCCATCCTATTCTATCTCTACAAGATCCATCTCAATATTGTCCACACCAACGATCCCCCAAAATTTCATCTGTACAAATGCTGGGAGAAGACTATTGGATAAAATTTTGTATGAAGTTAAATTAAAAATTTTAATTCGCACTGTAGGGGGTGGAGTCCAGTTGGGTCCACTCGGCATGGCGGTCACTGATCAGCCTATTGAGCCTGCCCCGGGTGATTATGATGGAAAATTTGGTGGAATGAAGATTGGCAGGGGAAACCGAAGTACTCGGAGAAAACCTACCTCAGCGCCACTTTGTCCACCACAAATCCCACTTGATCAGACACGGGTTTGAACCCGGGCCACAGTGGTGGGAAGCCAGCGACTAACTGCTTAGGCTATGGTGCAGCCTAGTATGAAGTTAATAGCAGTGACATCCCACGATAATTACTACAACCAGTACAACCTTCTTGTGAACTAGTACAATAATCGATTCCTTACAGTGATGAGGCAATTTTACCTCATTCCAAATAGAATTAATTAGCTAATGGATCTCAGAATGTAATATTTCACCTGCCGCTTAAATCAGTTCTGCTGGAATTTGATCAATACCTGGAAATTTATATCTTTTCAACCTCAAAAGGGCTACGATCAGGCACTAATAACTCAGATGTATGTATTTCTATCTGCCGAACTTCACTCACCCTATGTACATTCAATAACTGAGAGAATTATTTCTTCCACCTATTCAAAATGATGTAGGAATTTGCAAGCAGATCACAAATCTCACCCTTCACTAAGTTACTTCTAGATTGGAAACCCCTCCTAAATTAATTTATTCCATTATAAAAGCCTATAATGTTCTTCTTCTTACTGTTCGTTACAAGCTCATCAATTTTGTCCTTCAGATATTTCCTGTAAATGTATCCCCGTTAACATGCTGTGGAGGCCCATAGGGTT